AAGCCTCAGGAATGTAATGGAATAGGTATCTTGCCTTGAAACACTTTGGAATTGTGGTTTCAGTTTTGAAAAATTTCACAAAAAAGTGCAAAGTGTATGTGAGGTTTTTAGTGCAGCTTTCAGGTCTGAGCTTTAGGGTTTGCATCAGGCTTATATGAGGGATGGATTAGGGTAAAGATTTGGATCCAAAACCCTTTGCATTGATGTATGGAATATTTGATTTTCATGCATATCTTTCAAATCTTTTTCCATGTGATTTTGATGTCAATCATGGCCAAACCTTCCAATTTTGGTTATGCACGAATCTTGAGCCTTTAAGGAGAGTTTATTCTGCACAAAAAGATTTGAAAACTTTATTTTAGTATTTTTGTCATATTTTATTTTATTAAATGAATTAATAGTAATTAAAAATTCAAATAAATAAATAAAAATGATGAAATAAATCCCCTTTGGGCCAAATGCTCGTGCATATGCTTTGGATGATGAATCTTGGAAGAAAATGTGGCCCATTAGCAATTTTAAGGCATTTGAAGCAAAGTTGACTTTTCAAAATTCCCAAAAATTTCCCAACTTCCACAAGGCATATCTTGCTCAATCTTTAAGATTTGATCATGTTCTTGGACATTTTGGAAAGGTCTTGAAGTCCTCTAACCAATGCCTTTGGTCCCATGTCATTTTGATTTACAAATCTCAAGTTATGGCCTTTGACTTAAAGTCCCTTTTTGTTGACTTTTGAAAATGACCTATAATGTTGAAATTGATAACTTTTTGTGAGAGCATTTCTTGGACTTGAAGTGTGAAGAGGAGTTGTAGGAAATGTCTTTCTCTTCAAAATGAGCTTTGGATGGAATTTTTATGATAATCCATGTGAAAGTTATGCCTTGGTCAAGTTACAGTTGACTTTTTCAACTGTCCAAATATGGAAACTTTTGCATCTTGAGACTTTTTGAGCCAAGCTTTGAAAATCATGATCAAGAATTGATCAAATGATGTTTGTGGCTTCAAAATAAGATGTTGACAAAAAATTTGAACTTTTGACTGTCAAATGACCATTTTGCCCCTGCAGTTGACTGTAGGGCAATTAGGGTTTTTGACTGTGCAATTTTGTGCTATAAGTCTTGAAACTTGGCATGAGGATGCTTGAACATATTTGTAGGCATGTGGGACTTGATTGGACCCTTGGAAACTTCATTTACTTTGCCAGAACCAAAACCCTAATTCTTGACTGTTAGGAGGCCCTTGAACTGTGCAACTCTTGGGGAGATTTTGAAGCATTAACTTGGCAAATCTTGAAGAATATGGGAGGGCAAATTTTGGGGTACAACACAACCATATTGAATGAATAATAATATACAAGAAATATAAAGATAATGTACAAAGACAAAAGTGATATGTAAGAAAAGAAAATGTTTTGTTTAAGTTTTTGGTTTATAAGAAAACTTTGATTCTAACTAAACTAAGTAAAATGATTAGTTCAAAATAAAATAAAACTAACCTAAATTGATTAAAGAAAAGAAATTAAATTATTTGGAGACGGCAAGTTATTAGGGTTTTGTAAAAAGGATTTTATCTTAATTAAACTAGTATAAAAAAGTTTATTAATTAAAAAAACCTAAGTTCTAAATTAATTTTAATAAAAAAAGAAAATAATAAACCTAAGTATAATTATTTATAAGGAAAGAAAATGAACTTAATGAGAAAATATTTTTTGGTCTTTTTAGTCTTAAAAGAAATAAAAAGTTAGAGTATATTTTAAATATGTAAATAAATAAAAAATATATATTTTTGGTTTTTTATTAATAAATAATAATAATAATATTAATAATAATAAAAAATAAAGAAAAAGAAAATAATATAAAAAATAAAGCCATGAGGTGTAAAATGCAAAGGAGTGTTTAGTAGCAAAACATTTTGTTTTGAGTTCAAGGTCCAATAGGAGTTTTTATTTTTTGTTAGTCAGAAAAATAAAAATAAAAATAATGAAATGGGCTGCGTGTTAAATGAAAAAAGAGGGGGGGTGAATCTGAGCAAAAAATCAAAGCCCGGTGGCCTTAGGCCCAGACTCACTAGCTTGTGTCAAAAAAAGAAGGAAAAATATTGAAAATTTGGAAAAATGGCAGCGTAGGGGCTCGAACCCAAGCCCTTAGCAATAATACGCGCGTGCTCTACCACTTGGGTGGCTATACATCCGTTAACTTATGTCAAACTATGTTATTATATTTTAAACTCCTTCCATAACTGTCATCTTCTTCTTCTTCCTCGCGCCATCTTCCTTCACCATTTTTGAATTTCATAACTTACTCATTTCTCAATCATTCTCAAAAGTATAAACATCAAATTTGTTAGAAATTTCATCACGATTTCAAACATGTAAATAACTTAAGCAATGGATAAAAGATGAACACGAATTTTAAATGGTACCAAATCTGACCTAATTTTTTCAGAAAGTTCAACTCTAAAATTCTCACTAATCAGTTAATATAAATGAAATCTAAGGACATGGTCATCTTCAGGGCTATGATGTCTACATTTTATCTTTGAAATTGAAAACCTAACAATACCTATATGAAGAGATTGAAAATCAGAAAATATACCTCAAAACTGGAAACCGTGTTCTGCAAATGAGCTCACCTCAAGATGCGTTAATGATTTGGTTAGCTTCCTTGAACTTCTAGGAAGCTATTTTAATGGTTAATTTGAGGTGAGACTTCCTGAATCAAGCTGGAGAAGTTAATGTGCAAAGCTCTGTTTTTGAAAATGGAGGATGGTGTAAATGGTGTTACAGTTTGAAATCATATATTTAGATGGTTTATATTTGAGGTAAAGAAACATTAGAAATGATTTTGCCAAGAAACACACGAGTAGATTTGAAGATTGAAGTTCAAAGTCAGAAATGACACAAAAATGGAGATTTTATGCAATTTCTAGCTCGAGGAAGGTTAAGGGTGTTTGAGGACTTATAATTTCGTGTCCTAGCTTATAAATAGTGTCTCTATTTATAAGCAAAAGGTTTGGAGTGCTCAAGTTTATCTGAATTCAAAATCTATGTTTAAGCTCAACATGTGATTTTATTGACAAAACAAGTTTCTATGCCTTGTACCTTTGTGCATATAGTTGTTAACCACTTTAAACACAATTCCTCTGACTTTGTAGATGGAGTATAATCAGAGAAAACAAGTTAGGAGCTCAATACATTAACTTTGTCCATAAAACTTGCTTTTCAAGAATTGATATGTTACTTTCTTCCCAAAATGGAAAATTGCTTTGGACAATGGTTGAATCACTTGGATAAGGGCTCAATCAATTGTGTAAACCATTAATTATGGAGCGAAACACGAGTTAGAGGCCTGCAAAGCAAAAATTATGCAGCATGACTAGAGATTTGATCAATTGTTCTTCATGATTCTGCCTTGTAAATCAAGAATGAAATCCTAACTTTATCTCTTTGATTCTCCTAGCTCAAGAATGATCTTAATGAGTTCTTTGACATTTTAGAAAGCTTGTAACATACTCTACAACCTTCATGTTTTCCATTTTTAAATAATCCAATTGGAACTATGTGAAAAGTTATCATGAAGATGGTACCAAAAATTTGCCTAACTAGGTCAAATTTTCACTAAGTGTTTTAAGAAAAATTTCATGACTTTATGGCCTTATAACTCAAAATCAAAGTATTTTTTGGACATGATCCCTCTAATAAAAGTTTGTATAATTTATCAAGATCTACAACTTTCATGTTGAAAATTTTCCTTGAATCATCTTGCATCATGGCGAAAAATTGGCATGAAGTCATGAAGAAAAGCATGTACAAAACACTTAAATAAATTTCTAAGTCTTAGAAGTTTTGATTTTTCAAGATGAAATTTGACTTTTTGATTTTCTTGATGATCAAGCTTCATATTTTGACATGTCTTGATGAAATGTGATCTTTGAAACTTGATTTTGATCAAAAGTCAAAGTTTGACTTTCCAGTGTACATTTGACTTTTTCATCAGTTGACCAAATTTCAACTATCAATCAATTGATTTTGAGGAATGAATTAAACCATGCAATTAGGTCAATATGGTGCATTTTAATCCTTGTTATTATGTTTCAAACCAATAAGTCATGTATTATGTCAAAAGTAAAAAATGAAGCCTTCTCAGTCAAAACTCTAATTTTGACCATTTTGCTATTTTGGTGATCTTATCAAATTTCTTGAGGAATTGTGATCCAAACTTGATCAATTGATGCATATGAGTCCAAAGTGTTGATATGGGTCCAAGATCTTGATGTTTAACTGTAAGTTGATCACAATTGATTTTTTACTCAATACAACTGATTTTAGGTTATTCAATCAATTGACTGAGCAAACTTGAGCTGCAAGACTTGAAATTTGACATGAGCAATCTTGAAAGTCCAAAATAATCAATGAAAGTCATATGAGGCATTGAAAATTTAATTGTCCTTGTGAAAACTCAAACCCTAATTTGAGGTATCAGTGTTGAGAAGATGTATTGACCTTGTCGATCCTTGTGCAAATTTAAACTATTGAAAATCTTGTAAAAAATATTTTAAAAAATAAGAGGACAAATTTTAAGATACAACACTATCTGATTTAATTTTACACACAAATTCACATAAGTTCACTAGAAAGTGTTTGTGTTGTAAGTGTTTTTATTCTTAACAATATTCTATTTAGAATATTGACTTTTATTCTGATTTAATGAGTTAGATTGCGTCTCTCAGTAATATTCTGTACTATATTATTTTTATTTAATATATTTTTATTTATTAAAAAAAACTTAAAGACATCATTTTCTTACTCTTGATGCTAGATATTATCTCGATCATTCATTCACAAGAGCCAATTTACGTAATCTATGAAATATATACACGTGTCAATGGCGGTGCCACATAATTTCTCTACACGAGGACGCACATGTTAGTATAAATAGTATCACAATTTTATAACTCTTTCTCATCCCATTAAGAAAAACATAGGTGATCTTGTTGTAACAATGTTGTTTCTTGTACTAGTTCTTCTTGTTCTGTGTCTCATCTTTCCTTTGTTTTTGTTCTTGTTCAAACATAGAACCATGCCACCCGGTCCTAAAGGTCTTCCCATAATAGGAAATCTTCATCAACTAGATATTTCTAATCTTTATCTTCAATTTTCACAATTCTCAAAAATATATGGTCCCTTGTTTTCAATTCAACTTGGTTTAAAACCAGCTATAGTCGTTTCTTCAGCTGAAATTGCCAAAGAAGTATTGAAAAACAATGATCTTGTGTTTTCTAATAGACCTTTACTATATGGTCAACAAAAACTATCTTATAATGGATCAGATATTGCATTTTCTCCATATAGTGATCATTGGAGAGAAATAAGAAAAATTTGTATTCTTCATATTTTTAGTTCCAAACGTGTGTCAAGTTTTTCTTCTATAAGAAAACTTGAGGTGAAGAAAATGATTAAAAAAATTTCAGGGCATGTTGATTCTTCGGTTGTTACAAATTTGAGTGAGTTATTAATTTCACTCTCAAGTAGTATGATATGTAGGATTGCTTTTGGTAAAAGCTATGAAGACGAAGGACATGAGAGAAGTAGATTTCATGAAATGTTGCATGAGTTTCAAGCTTTGTTAGCAGAATATTTTGTTTGTGATTATATTCCATGCATGGGTTGGATTGATAAACTGAGAGGATTGCATGGTCGTGTTGATAGATGTTTCAAGGAATTTGAAGAGTTTTATGAAGAGATTATTGATCAACATTTGGATCCAAATAGAGAACAAATTAAAGATGAAGAGGATATTGTTGATATCTTACTCCAATTGATGAAAGAACGTTCACTTCCTTTTGATATCACTTTTGATCACATCAAAGGAGTTCTTATGGTATGATATTTTAATTCATTTTTTTATAGTAAACTAATATATATTCTACAAATCAATTTTCTAAGGTTGACTTAGATTGAATCACAATTTTTAACATAGTATTAATAATTGGTCATCTGTTATTAAGTTTTCGCTATTAGACTATTTACTATTTAATGACTTGAACATGTGCTATCAAACTCATATCTACAACATAAATCTGAAATGTAAAAATAAATGATGAATGATTTGATAACAGAAATTTGATAACAACTGTTTTCACAAATCTTAAATCACAAAATACCTGAGTGATATATGTCCATGAAGAAAACTATCATATCAATACTCTTTCTCTGATTTTTTAGTGATTCTATAATTTTAAACAATTAATTTGTTACAATAGATATTATTTTAAAAAGTTTATCTAATAAATATATTGAATGATTCAATATTTCTTTGTAGAACATGCTTGTTGCTAAAAGCTTATCTAATAAATATATTGAATGATTCAATATTTCTTTGTAGAACATGCTTGTTGCTGCAACAGATACTACATCAGCCACATCAGTTTGGGCAATGACTGCTCTAATAAAAAATCCAAGAGTAATGAAAAAAGTACAAGCAGAAGTTAGGAATTTGGAATCCAAAAAAGATTATTTAGAAGAAGATGATATTCAAAATTTTCCTTATCTAAAAGCAGTAATAAAAGAGACACTAAGATTGTATCTACCTGCCCCACTGCTTGTGACAAGAGAATCAAGAGAAAAATGCACTATAAATGGCTACAATATTCCAGCTAAAACGATATTGTACGTGAATGCTTGGGATATTCATAGAAACCCTAATATTTGGAAAAATCCTAATGAATTTTATCCTGAGAGATTCTTAGAAAGTTCTATAAATTTTATTGGACAAGATTTTGAGCTAATACCCTTCGGAGCTGGTCGTAGAATTTGTCCAGGTATATCTATGGCAACCGCATCTTTGGAACTTATCCTGGCTAATGTTTTATATTTTTTTGATTGGAAACTTCCACATGGGTTGATGGAGAAAGATATCGATACTGAAATGTTGCCAGGAATCACTCAACATAAGAAAAATCCTCTTCGCCTTGTTGCCAATATCCATAAGTAGATGTATCTATTTTTAATATTATATTTGTTTCTTGTTTAGTAAGTTTTGTTTCTAATGCTTATAGTTTTGTGTTACACTTGACTTATTAGAGAGTGAGTGAGAACTCTAATTTCTTTAGGTTGTGTTTGTTTTAAGTTATTAAATTATATTTTTTTTGAAATAATATTTTTTAGGTTTATATTTTTTGGAATAATATTTTAATTTATATATTTGAGAAAAAATGAATTTTCTTAAAAATATTTGTAATTTTATTTAATTTAAAAATTATAAAAAAAAGTGGGAAGTTAGTAATAATTGGATTAACACTCATGAGAATGTTGGATTTTTACTCTTTAATTATAAGAATAAAAATAGAAAAACCACATATAAATAAAATTTCTGAAAATAAAATATATTTTAAATAATTTTTTTAATCTTGAATCAAACATAAGAATGTTGCATTTCCATAATTATATTTTTTGAAATATTTATGTGTGAGATAATGTGTAATAGATTTTTTTTGTTATAATTTCAAATTATGGATAATTTAGTCTATTTATGTTTTTTTTATATATTTTCTTGTAACCCTTATTTTCTTAAGTTAGGTTATTACTTAGTGAAATTCTAATCTACTTATTCTTATCTACATTGTTACCTCAAGTATTAACATAAGTTATGTTTCGATCCAGCATGAATTATTTGTCGCTTGTGGTATATATATTAAAAGATTTGGGAAATGTATTTATTTTACTTTCTTATTTTGTTTTTAAGGAAGAAAAAATCATTTCATTGAATTAATGAAATTGTTTTGATATGTTGGCTTCCCCTTCATTAAATCAAATAATTGAATCAATGAATTGGTTTTTGATGTAACACCCTTAAACTCTCGCATAATTATTAGTTAAAAAATTTAAAACATTTCAATAGTAAGGATATTACTTTAATACATAATACATAATATATATGTTCATTAATATGAAATACCTAACACATTTATGAAAATATAAAACTATATGTATTTCATATATGAAAAATCTTTCTTTTATTCAAAGCGGAAAATATCAATAACAATTATTTTCAACCCTTCAACAAGAGTGACAAATATTATCTTTTAAAAATTTAACATAAAACAATAAATCTAACAAATAGAGGTTTACAAAAGTTTACTCTCAACATAAACAAAACAAGCGTAAAATCCCTAAGTGTTACGTATCAGAGTTGATACTGACTCAATCTACGTAAAATGAGGCAACTCCTCAGTTAACTTCGACATCAAATTATTTCGAATCATCTGCATGTTATCAATATAAAGGTAATATTCAAACAGAAGAGATGAAATATCATAACAATATAAAAGAAATTATAATAATGAGTAGGTGATAAATCAAGTACACATTATCAACTTCTTTACCTCACACCTTTACTTCATTCATCGTACCACAAAGTACATCAACATTCAATCAAATATACAAATAACACACAATATCCAATGTGATATAACTCATACTTCTTCAACAACAAAAATATTAAATTATTAATAATAATGTAATGCAATGAGACCGACAGTGACTCAATGCATGTGGTATTAGCAGGGCATAAGCCCTCATTATAATGTCAAATAAGACATCAACATGGAATAAGCCCCTATCATCACGTCAATACAGGACATCTCTCGCTAATACATGTCATCTTACATAGCATAAGCCCTTATCATGAATGCATGCGACACCGACATGCAACAATATAAAATGCATTCATATTTCTATCCAACAATGTCACGTCAATACATGTCATCGTCATAATCATCATTATGCATTATTCATGCAATTCATTCATACATCATTCGTACAACACCATCACGTTCAATCACAACAATATGCATCACACTTCATACAACATTAACACACAAGGCATAAACCTTCGCCAAGATAATCATCATAAGATAGAAAATATCACATCACATCAACACCAAAATCCTCATGATTAATTCAACAACAAAAACAAATTCATCATTAAAATACGACATTCCAAATTAATCTACTATACAAAGTGTGTCTCTCTAAAGCATTGCATGACCTCTTAGATAGCTTGAAGTATTAGTTCATTTGAGAATGATTGGGAAGTCATCACAATGTATGGCCAATCGTGTGTGTCCTTAAAACTAAACTTTTTGAGTCATTTTTTGTTGCATCTGTCGACACATCCGAGTTTCAAATCGACACATATAACTCAATATTAAAACTCATAAGCTTCTGTAAGTCACAGGTCGACACATGCATCATACAGGTTGACACATACTGAAAGAATTCCTAAAGTACATAATTTCTTATTTTATGTGTCGACACATCCATATTTCAGGTCGACACATTCACTCACGCTTTAAAGGTTGTAGCATGTGACTTGATCAGGTCGACACATAGAGTCTCTCAGGTCAACGCATACATCTTATTCATAATATATGTTTCAACACGTACAAATTTGAGGTCGAAACATACAATTTATTTATCTCAAAATTTTCCCTTCTTACCCAAAATGTTCACAAATATAAATACTCATTCATGCATCATTCACAACTTGATAATACCATAAAATTATCCTACCTTATCTCTTCTTCTTCAACCTTCCAATCTATGCATACACACTAACATTACATTGTGAGGATGTTCCGTTGGGGTTTCATCTACACGAAGAATTGTGGATTTCCAATTGTTATTTGGGTTGATATTTTGTAGGGGTCTTCATTCAGAAAAACCATTGGGTTTGTCCTCCAACATTATTTGTTGAATTGGGGATTTTCGTGCAAGATCGTGCGAAGGATCGTCCATTTGAAAAATCCCTTGGAGTGTTTGAAATGTTTTCAAGAAATCTTAGAGTGGTTGAAATCTTTTTAAGGAAGTATATAGAATTAGATAAAAGAATCATTGATCTTATGTTGATAGTTTGTAATCGGATTTACTCGAGTGAATAATCCCTTGGATTGTTTAAAATCTTTGGAAGGAACTTTGGGGTGTTTGAAATCCTTTTAAGGAAGTAGCTTAAGTGGCGAATAGGTTGTATCTATTGGTTGATTTGATCTTGGTTAAGATCAAAGGTTCAAAGAAAGAGAATAAACACCAAATTGAAGAATTTTGTATTGTTGTTTGTAAATCTTCCATTGTATTAAACATTTTGCATATAAGAATTATCCTAGTTCCATTGAAATAAAGCACAGACGTACCCACGCGTGAGGATGACAATGGGGAACTGTGTAGACAAATTCCTTATGTGTTTTTATTTTTCTGCTTTTACTTGGTTTCAATTTCATAAATATTTTTATCAAATAACATTGTGATAGTAATTGAATTGTAAGATTTTTTCTCTCAAAATCTATTTTTGAAATAGGTGTGGATATAACTTATAATTAATTCACTTTCACACCAAGAGTTTGATAAAACGATCAAGTTAGTTATTTTATTATTTATCCTTGAAAATAACATTTCAAAGTGATTGTGTTCAAAAAATAAATAAAGTGGGTTGTTGATTTGAGTTTGTATCAATCTATTACTCATTTTGTTGCACAGATTAACCTTGTATAATTTGTATTCCTGAGTTACCAATAAGTTGTTTTTAGATTACTTATCCAGTTAATTTCTTCTGCATAAATTTTTTTTAAGAAACTATTAATTTCTATATTTGTGTCGAGAAATATATTTGCGCCTCTATTCACCCCCTCTAGATACGCACCATCGTCTAACACAAAGCATTTGTATGCATTTCACAAAATCACATAATTCAACAGTACAAAACACCCGTCCATGCAATAAATAGTTGAAATTCTAGTATTAAAATTATTTTTAAGAGAAAGTATGTTAAATCAGTGTTCCAAAGATCCGAACTATGCGTCAATCAGATACTTGAAACTCAAGTTATGAATTTTTGCAGTTTTACAAGATTTACCAACACTGACAACCTACAACAACAAATACTGACACCATAAAACATATTCACACACCAATTAAATTTAGGTCCTGTACTTGAAACCATTTTTACAAGAAATTACATTGTACTAGCTTTCCAATGGTTCAAACGACGCGTCAAATAGACACCCGAGTCAAAAGTTATGGATTTTACAAGTTTTGAAAACAAATTTGTCAACATCAGTGGTACCCCATTATCGCTTTAGTGGCAACCGATTCCACCCTGTTAAAACACCCCAAAACACCATTTTTCGAGTTGTAACCTGGTACCCATATAGTGGTAATCAATTCCTAATGTACCAGAACCAAAAATACCAGATTTTTATGTTACGAAACTCACTCCAATTCATCCCTAAACCCCAATTTTGTACACCAAAACATGTTCTTCATTACCAACATTTTCCCAAACACATCATACAACATTTTGACAGAATTTGTACACTCAATTGCATCCATTTAATCGCAATTATACCAATTTCATCATAATGCATCATAAAAAATAATCAATAGGTAAAACCCCATAAAGCAAAATAGTGAGAAATCAAGAACAGATAATCATATAACCTAATCACTATCATGCCACATCATTATGCAACTTGTTATAGAGTTAGAATCTCACCCTTATCTTGGATTAACGATTCTTAATCTCTACGATGAAATCCCTTGCTCTAGCTTCTTAGTGATATTTCTCCGCTTCTCTCTTCTACGATCGTTCTAACTTTGTTTCTACGTTCTAATTCTCTTTTCTCATTCCAATCTTATTTTATTTCAAAAATGACCCCTTGGACCTCTAAATTATTATTCCAACTTTGCCCTTCCTCATTAAAATAACAATAAAATAATTATAAAAACTATAATTATTATTTTAATTTAATATTATTATTAGACCAACATTCTCCTTCCACCTCTATTTTTCTATATTTTTAGTCATATACCTCTAATACCTTATTTTCTTTATTTTCTAAGATGATTACCCCTTATTAAGCCATCACAACACATCGAAACATAAAACTTACTCGTAATCACATATACGCCCTTAATATTTATTTATAAAATTAAATAAAT